ACACACAGACTGTGATATGAGAGAGCCTCTCTCTCTCTATGGAGGCAGAGCGGCTGAGGAGTTAGGGGGGCAGACGGCATTCATACTCTGGAACCAGAGAAAACCGCGACTGCCACAGTACCACTGTCGGGAAATAGAGAGGGTGGAGGGGGCTAGGGGGGGGGGGGGCGGGGGGGGGGGGGGGGGGGGCAAGAGACAATCACCTAACTCTGGAGGAGGGGCACGGGCGGTGGGTGGGACTTTGTGCGAACTTGTGATGGGGGGGCGGAGGGGGGGAGGGAGGGGGTGGGAGGGGGGGCGTGGGGGGGCGGGGGAGGGGTCGTTGGGGGTGAGCGGGGGTTGGGTCGAAAACTTTGGAGAAGTCAAGGCATCTGTCCCGCTACCTTTATTGCCCGCTTCCGCCCAACTTTTGCGTGCAATCAGTATGTTGGTAGTGCATGAACGGTTTTGGTAGATACTGTGCTCCTCAGGTGCCATGATGTCGTAGACTTTAGATGGTCTACGAAAACACCCTAAAAGATTGCCTTCATCATCTTTGTGAGTTAAAACAGTAGGAGCACTTAGCAATAGCCGGCGGGTTCCGAGCAATTGCCACTTATGACATCGGAGTGATTAGGCCATCTTTCCACATTGTTGGCGAAACTTGTTTATCCAAGCACGTTTGTAAGAAAGGTCCCAATGACCCAGACAGCCTTGTTGCTAGGGGCCGGGGGGCGGTTTTCAGCGGCTCTCCGGGAAGGGGGGGATGGGTAGTGGTCGGAGCGGATTCCGTGTTGTAAATGATAATGATCGTAGTGGGGGGGGGGAGGGGGTGAGGGGGGCGCGGAGGGGTGGTCGGGCGGGGAGTGGGGGGTGGGAGGGGGGGAGTCTGTTGATGGGAAATCTGGGGGTGTGAGCGGTGTGTTGAGCTGCGGATGTGTATCCGGGGATGGCGTGAGGCCGACTTATTGTTCTATCTGTGATGTAAATGGGGTAGTATGGTTAAAAGGGGGGCGGGAAGTACATAGGGGGGGGGGGTGAGATATTGGGGGGGGGGGAGGGGGAGGAATAAATTAGGGGAGGGAGGAAGAGTAAGGATAGAATTGGGGATATAATAATGGAAGAGTTGGGGGTGGGGTGGTGTAAGGGGAGGAGATGGAATGTGGGGGGTTATTGAGGGTGGGTTGTGGGGGTGGGGGGTTTGGTTAGTAGAATTTGGGGGGGGGGGGGTGGGGGTATGGTGGGAAGATAGGGGGGGTATTGAGTTATGTTTTGGTGGGGAGAAGGATAGTTTGTATATAATGGGTGGGTGATTGTCGTGAATAGGTTTGTTAGGTTGATTTTTTTTAAAACATTCCCAAACTATATGCCTTTGAGGGTTCTACTACTGATAGAAGACTAGGGATTTGTAAAAGGAACCCTCTTCTTTTAGGAAGCAGTTGCGAGTAGATTGCGATAGCATCCGACAAACTGAATCCAGGCGCTGTCAGGCGAATCAAATTGCAAGAATTCCTAATCGGTCTTCTCAACTACTTCATTCTGAATGTTGTAGTATGTGATAGTACGTGTTAGTTCTGTGCTTTCCTCCGGATATTCAACGTAACACACAAATATATAAAATACGATGACATGATCTCATGACCCTAGTGGGGTGTCTTTAAATAGTCTGTCGACCATGAGTACCTCATTTGTAAGTGCGAGCTCCAGTACCGATGGCTTGTTATCAGCTGTGTATCTGGTAGGTAAGGTGATGGGATTGTAGAGCTGAATTTGCGATAAGTTCTTGTAGTTCAGTCTTGAATATTTCTCTGGAGGATGCCGAGGATTCGAAGTCGTGCACGTTTCAGTCGCCGGAGAAAAGAACATGGCGGTAATTTATGAGTAAACATTTTGTCAGAGATTATATTAGGCGGAACCCCATCTCTGGATTGGACGATTGGGGGGTGATATACGACTGCCAAGAATCAGTCGTTGTGACTGAAACGCAAACGGCACCACAGCGAGTCGGTGATCCGCATCTCAGGATAACCCAATGGTTCGCATTGTAAGTCTTTGCAATACTACAGGAAAACAATACCTCCCCTGCCGCGATGCTCTTGCCCAACCATTGGCATACCCATAATTGCGATCTTGGCATCCATAACCTCCGAGTACAACCAAGTCTCGGTTATGAGGATGAGATCCCAAGTTTTTATTTTCTGGCGCAACCGAACTTCGGCGATTTTTACTAAGGTGAACTTAGACATCCGTGTACATGCAGGAAAATGTTTCTGTTCTCAGCGGTGATAAGAAGGACTTGTGGCTAGGATGAGAGATTGTACCGACCGTTGTATGATCAGACGCGAGCCCATTTTTGTGGTATTATTGGCGAGTCGCTTGGAGTATTGTCCAGTGGCATGGTAGTTAGCCCGTCTGACAGCTCATTTTGCACAACGCTTCGGAAGTTGTTGCAGGATTGTATAGAAAGTTCCTCACTTCCTACAGACCTACTTCCGTTGTGAATTTCGGATGGGATCCTCACTCCATTTGCCTGCGGATGTGGTGCTTTAACTAGGACGGCAGTTGCGTTCGCCGATTCGATTAGGAACTCGCTTGGCCGTCTGCACAGAAGTGACAGCCAAATTTCCCATAGCATAACTGCCACCTACCTAGTTCCTAGCACAACCTTTATAATCGTTTGGCTGCACCGTTTGTGGCTTCTGATCTTGGCAGCCTCGAGAGAAAAGTAGCAACAACTTGATGCTGTTTTGAATTCCTGGTACAGTTCACTTGAAACTTAGTTTGGACTCAGTACTCATTTTTAAACACAGGCGTTACGATTGACGTGTTATTTGTATTTGGCCAAATAAGCCATAGAAAATTAAGTGCATTGGTAGATGTAATACTGTTTTGTTAGTAGAATTAATTGTGTCAGCGTACAAAAACCGCACCACTATTTTAATGTGCCATGACACTGGGTGATAGGCTAACAAGTTACGACAGTACTTCTTTCGTTACGCATGTTAAAATAAGATGTTAAGGCACAAACATATGTTAGGCAAAGAGAGGATCATGGAAATTACGACAGTCAGGAACTCAAGTAACTTGAGTGAAGAAAATCGTCGACATCTCACACTTCGCGCGCTGACAGCTGTTGAGTTTGCGCTTGGCATTCCTCCGACAACAAACACGCGCTCTGTCATGCGAAACGGACCCCAGCTCTATCGATCAAGGCGTTGGAGTTTCTGCATTTTTCAATTTCATGAATCCCGTTTTTTCCTCACCAACATTTTATGTTTTAACATTCCATTTTATAGTTGTTAATGTTTGGAGACATTTATCAAAAGAGATAATATTCGCAGACTTGCTTTTTTGCATTTTAATCGGTATAATTTACGAATTAAGATAAAATTAGTTCCGGAGACTCAGCAGATCGATAAGACGGCACTACAGTAGATTAACATCCTACATTCTTTGAAATGAAGTCGACGTCAATGAGCCGGGTGCCAATGTGTTGAATTAGTATAGCAACCGGTAACGCTTGCAAATTCCACCGTTAGATTCATCGCGTCATTTACAATCCCGGTCTAGATATAGGTATTATTGCATACACTCATTCACCACAGAAATTTAGCAACTGCAATTTCTTGGTCTTTAGTCAGGTTCATCACCTTTGTGGGAATTCAATCGGGGCTTACGTGGAGACTGTGATACAGTTGCCTTCCTTCATTGACTAAACATTATGTCATATGAAAATTTCCACCGAATTTGTCATTTAATGCCCGTTACTCCATCCACACCATATTGATAATATTTGACCATGGTTTTCAGTTTTGAAACCTTTTCTTTATAATGAAGGACAGAATGTCTATCCAAAATGCTTTGTCAAATTACACTACTAGGAGCGATTACGGAATTACCGTGCAGGATGCGCGAAATCAGTTGATAAAACGCTGTCTTTCCACTTTGCACCAGAAGCAAGCGATACATATGATTGTATCAAGCCACTCACTTGGGAGCATCGTGGAATCAAACTAAATTCTGCAGTGTTGCCCAATTTTACCCTAACAAAATTAGCCAGTTATCTACACTGCCACAATGTTGCGCTACATACGCGTTACATAGCCCATCCTGACGTCTCTTACATACGTCGAAAAGAAACTAGCAACAGTTTTCACCGTACACGCATACAGCATTATTTTTTTACCTCACTACAGTCCGCATATTAAAACCCATTATTTTAAGCTTGCGCTGAACCAAATATTGTACAAATGAAGAATGCGAAATGCTGCTTGATAGTTTTTCAAAAAATGTTGGATGCAGTGATATTTTGTGCGATACCAAATGGCCTAATGTAATCGTACGTTTCCAAAAAAATCGGTTTACAAGAAATATTTAAGGTCTAGCAATCTTTGCGGATATGCACGAGTAGATACACGAATGGTTCCACTGATCTTAAGCTCATAACAACCAGTTTGTCTAACACTGCAGTTGCATTATTCGGCTGTGCACCACTGTGAATCTAAACGGTTACTCTGCATGGTATAAGGAGGTTTTCTCATTACAGAGTTCGGACAGCTAGCAAAACCAAACGTTGTTGTCTTATAGTGCCTGCCCAGCAACAAATTTTTATTTCGGGTCACATGCCAAATAATCTGACATGTCCTCAACATACGTTTAATTATTGTGTTTCAGTTAGTAGCAGATTAAATCAGGAAGAACATTAGTTTAGTACTTTTAGTTTATTGCTTTTCATGTGAAACTAGGATTATCTAATATTGCATTAATGTTAGGAACCATAAGCGGATGCACCAGCCCTCAAAACTTGCAGAAATCGTTAGATTAAAAATAAAATAAAACAAGCGACTTACATTTTTATGGCTTTCGCAAATCTTCCCAAGGTACCAATTTTGCCATCGCTTGGCTGCCTTAGTGATTTCTTTTCAGTGCGCCTCTGTAACTTACCTTCTATGTTGACGGGCTGTCGTTGGCCAGTTCAAGATGGCAATGAGCTTTTCGTGGATAAAGTTCCTCGGACAGTCTACCGTGCTAAATAGCCAAGATAAACCTGGACAACCTTCCCATTTGAACCTTCTCAGTTGAAGTTAGGATTAGGTTCCTTCGAAGCTTTCCTAATGCAGTAACTGCACCCAAGAACTAATTAGGAATACAGGCTACATCTTTCTCCTTAGTCCCTCAACTCGTAAAACCTCCGTCAAAATTTTATCCCGAATGAAGCGGAGTGGGCAAGCTCGGAAGCAGTATTCCACATAGACTGTATGGAAGCTGAGCACATATTCACAAAGTTACGGGCCGTTAAGATTCGAAAAGCGTATTAAGCGCAGCAGACGGAACCGTCAACTAAAGGACTTCTTCCAATTTTCGCCCAAATATAAATTCGAAGAGGGTACGACTCCTATGAAGATCTAACACATTGATTAATTAATTCGAGTGAGGAGAACCTACGTTACTATGAAGAACGGAACCCTCTCTAATGTACCTGCAGTAAGTGCAAAGTAGCCTAGTCCCATCGCGTATTTAGGGCATGCTAATTGGCCTCAGGACCACCAGGAAAATTTACAATAAAATGCACTTTCAGATCATCTGCAATAAATCGCGAAGATACCCCAAGCACCTAGGGAGATCGCTTACATACTTGAAGAACAGGCAGTTATGCGAGCGTACATACCGCTGTATTCTTTTCAAGCATGCGAGCACACGGTGAATAGCCTTACTAGATACGTCGTAATAACTCGGTTTTGCGACCACCTACTAAAACGGCGCTGGGTCGAATATTTCGAAATACCCACGAACAGCAATTCAACACTAGTCACTTTCCAGTGCATCAACGGAATTTACATGGGCTATTATTATGTTCGACAGGCACAAAAATCCCATCCCGAATCCGTGCTACACACAGGTGAAGAAATCAAACGTTTGCAAGTGACCCTCCGACAAATCGAAACCACTGTTTGAACAGTTTGAATACGACGCTCGTTAGGTCGACAGCGATCATATTACCAGACAAACTATTAAAGCCATAACTTTAAATAGAACAGCTT